GAATTACCTCTTCTCCTAGGTTCACGAAACGGTCGTCCATAAAATGCATTGCTGTTCTGTTGTAAGTAATCTTAAAGATTCCTAAATGCATCTACTTTCGTAAGGCCAAATAAAGTGCTTTTGCTTTCGCCTAGAAACACACAGCTTCTCCCTGACATGGCTGCTTCAACACTAACTGCGTTTACTGAAACCACGCCTTCTTTCTTTGCTTGCACATTTGGGTGCATTATGCAAATATTTCCACATAGTGGGGTAGATATGTGGGGGCGTGTTAGAACGAGCCGTTTTAGGGGGGCGTGGCAGAGTCTTAACTTTGATAAAGAATATCTCTTTGGTTTTAAGACTTTAGTCTTTGCAACTTCAGGGATCTTATCTATGCACAATCAGCTTGTAACACTCCAAAGAGAAAGGAAAACTTGAAATCGCATCATATGACCCCTTTAATACAATTTTACATTACATATTTTGGTAACACTTTACAATAAACCTCCTTAATTTATTCTTCTAAACAAGCATTAATTAATCATAGTTAATGTTAATTGCAACATGTACTAATACATTTTTTAAATCAAAACTTATCTGTTAATATTATTTAATAAACCTGAACTAACAACAATGAACAAACAATGAGCAGGTGTATTTTTATTAACTAACATTAACAAATATTCATAAATACTGTAACAAATGCATTGTTCATTGTTAGTTAATGCATTAACTAAGGTCAACTAAGAAAGGTTATTTATTGTAAAGTGTTACCCACATTTTATTATTAGCTAATATTATTAGTAACAATTAAAAAAGCAGACTAGAAATAGTAAAGTATTTTTATTTATTTTTTTATAAATCCTGAAACTTTCTGATGATTTCCAAGTATAAATAAAATAAAGCTTTTTGACCCAACTGTATGTCTGCTTATTAATTCAATTTGTAGACCTACAGTCTTTTTGTAGCATTTTTGTATTATAGATTTGATCAAGAATTGAAGTGAAAAATTCTCAGTTGCCACATAGAAATCTTCATAAGTACAGAATCTTCCTAAGTTTGTCATATTGTTTCTTTGTTTTAATGCTAATGTTTAATGTCCTACAACTTTGTAAACTTTGTACTTTATTTATTTCTTTGTATAAATGAAAACAGTGGGTCAGACTTTTGGACCACAGTGTCTGCTCGTGAATAAATGGAAGAGATAAATAACACATAAAGGATTAATGCTGACACGAGTTTGTGAATTATTAATTTCAAAGAAGAAAAATCATATCCCAGTTTAGAATCACACCTGCATTTCTCTCTCTATTGTTCTTCAGGTCTTCTGGCTGATTCCTCCAAGCCCACACAATCTGTCTCTGTATGAGGACTGGGTGCTGTCAGGCAAACAGAGTGATATCTTCCTGGGTGACCGTTCAGACAGCTGCCAGCGAGTAGAGCTGAAACAGGGCTACACGTTCTTCATCCCTTCAGGTGACGCACTGAGCTTGAGTGCATATATTTAAGGAAAACGGAAGAGGATGGCAGTGGCAATGCCAAGGTCATGGGTTCGATTCCCAGGGAATGCTTGAACTGATGAAATGTGTACCTTGTATCCAGTGAAAGTCGCTTTGGATAAAAGCGTCTGCCAAATGCTGAATTGTAAATGTAAATTTTGTTATTGAAAATTTAAGTAATTATTCCACTGAAATGTCATTTGTGTTTGTGCACGGATTTAAGAAAATAGCGGCAGGTTTGACTTTAGTGACGTGCATACGATGAAGAACGGAGAATGACATTATGAGAGAAGATTTTTAAGCCCTTGTACATTTTCTTTCCTGAAATTGAGCATTCATATTTTTGCTCTCGTGTGTGTAGGTTGGATCCATGCCGTCTACACTCCAGAAGACACCCTGGTGTTTGGCGGGAATATTCTACACAGTTTTAACATTCCCATGCAGCTCACAGTCTACGAAATTGAGAACAGAACAAAGGTAAAGCATTCATTTAAAAATATAGATAGTTTGATGATTTATCAGTCAGCGTTTAAGGATCTGTCTTTTTAATTTGATGCATGTGGAAGGGAATTCTGATCAATGTGCATCTTTCGGAAGTTGTTTCCATTTACAATATTTATGAGTATATAGTACAAAGTGCTGGGTAGATTACTTACAAATTGTAGTCCGTTACTGATTCCAAATTATGTGACAAAAATTGTAGTCAGTAACGGAATCCATTACATTTCACATTTTAAGTAATATAATCAGACTACTTTTTGATTACTTTGTTTTGACCTAACTCGTTTATTACATTGTTTTAAATAGGATAATCTTGTACCATATTGATATAAAAATACAAAGAGAAAGAAAATATAATCTATTCTTTGTTAAAAGGGGTCATATGACGTTGCTAAAAAGAACATTATTTTGTGTATTTGGTGTAATGAAATGTGTTTATGCGGTTTAAGGTAAAAAAAACAGATTTGTTGCATCTACTGGGGACATATTTACGGATTATAATGATTTATACTGTGTTTTTATGCGTTGCGTTGCGTATCGCGCCGCGTAAACATAAAACCATGTCTGCATTTGTTGATTTTTCGTTGTGTCCTCTTTTGGAAGGCTTTTGATTTCACAACGAAACAGCGTCTCCATGACATGGCTGTGGCGGCAACAATACTACTGTGAGAATCAAAGTTAAGCCTTCTTTCTTTGCGTGAACATTTGGGCGGTGTGTTGAATCGAATCGAATCGAAATCGGATCGCACCGCATCGTAATAGGGGTGAATCGTATCGCATCGCATCGGTAGCTGCTTCATATGTATCTTTAATGTATCGTATCGTTGGCTATGCATCGAGATGCGTATTGTATCGGCCTGAGTCATGACTCATGAGATGCACATCCCTACTCCAAAGAGAAAGGAAAACTTGAAATTGCATCATATGACCCCTTTAACAACATGAAGTGCATTAAACATAACATTACGTCAAAGTTTCCCAAACTGGGGTTTGTGAAGAAACTGCAGGGGGTTTGTGAGTTTAATGAAAAGCTAATAAATTAAATAATAAAAAATGTAAAATTAAATAATTTTATTATCAAAATAAGCACTTACTTAAAAAGATGAAATGTTTTATTTGTTTACCTGCATGCCATGTGACCATTAACCAACGTCAGAGAACCATAAACATGCAAATGTCATACTTAATTATTAACTGATTACCTTAAAATCTCAAGTAAATATATTAGGTGAAAGAGTTTCAGCTGACAAAAAAGTTTGGGAATCACTGCATTACATGTAATTGTAGTCTGATTATGATTATTATAAAATGTAATATAATCTAATTACAAGTACTTAATTTTTGGAACCTGATTACGTTATCCAGATTACATGTAATCAGATCTAATTGTAAATGCCATTTATATTGGTACTTGATGCTATAGATGTGGTTTCAGTTTTTTGAGACAAAAAGGACCATCTTTTCCCTGTAGCATCACCAGAGCCTCACCAGAGTGTGATCCCAAACTGCATAAATTTGAGAGGACTGAGCCTAAAACAAGATTTTAGGCAAAAGTTTTGGCAAAAATTCAAATATTAATTTTTTTGCTTCTGATTGGCTCGGATGCTGACAGTAAAAAGGCTGTTTTAGCAACAGCACTGGACACCTTTGATGTGTTGTGACATTTCAAAGTGACAAACCAGTTATGGTCGCTCACTTTCTGCTAGCAGAAGCTCCAGGACACTTTGATGTGCTTTGCAGGGCTTAGAGCCGGTGGGCCGGGCTATTTTTATATTTGCTAGACAGAGCAGCCAGAAAGAAGACCGATCGTGGCACTGGCTATGTTGTTCCAGGGGCTGCATTATTGCAGTGCTCTAAATTTAGCGCTGGCTGAAGGAGGTATGAGGGAATGAGAGCACAAGCCCTCCATAACTCTGAGAATGTGAGTTTCCTCCCTGGAGAGGAGCCGGAATGGAAAGATATGTGCATGAGAAGCATCTTAGTCATGTTGTCGTTTTTCTCATACTGCAAGAGCCATCTATTATGAAGCCAGTTATATTAGTTTTATATGTAGGTTTTAGGTTCAACTTTATAGTAAGGTTTAATTTATTAACATTAGTTAATGCATTAGGTATCACAAACAATGAACAGCAATTTTTACAGCATTTTAAAATGTAGGTTAATGCTAATTTATAATGTACTTATTCATAATATATTAACTCATGGTAATGTATACAACTTGAAATCTTAAAAAAATGTATTAGTTTATGTAGAAGTTAGGGCTTCAAGATTAAATAAAACCATAATCACAAAATAGCTTAGTGTTATTATCAAATTAAATTAATTAAATCAATATACATGTCGCTTGTCACACTGAAGTATGGTACTGTTTAAAAAAAATTATATAATTTTAAATATGAGATTTTTAATCATTTACAAAGATATTACAATATTAATATTTCTTATTTTTGTAGTAGCAGTAATAATAATATTTTATCATTTTAATTTTATTTTAATAATGATGATGATAATGATGGTAACAAAAATAATAATTATAAAATTAAAAAATAAATATTTTACTACTACTACAAAAAAACCAAATAAATAAATATATAATAATAATAATAATTTATTACTTTAATTATTATTATAGTTAAATTGATATATAATCATAAAATGTTGGGCCAAATTGTGCAGCCCTACAAACCAAACCTGGAGCTTTTCAAAACAAACAAACAAGCAAAATGCAATCACAAATTGTATTTAATCAGAAAAATCACAATTAGAAAAAAAAATAAAAATCATGCAGCTCTAGTAGAAATTAACATTAACCAAGATCAATAACTGCTATAAAAGTCCATTGTTAGCTGCATTAACTAATGTTAACAAATTGAACCTTATTGTAAAGTGTTCCAAGATTTGTTATAGAGTGGTAATTCATTGCATATCGGTTTCAGGTGCACTCCAAATTCCGCTACCCTTTCTTCTATGAGATGTGCTGGTATGTGTTGGAGAGGTACGTGAACTGCTTGACCAGACGTTCGCACCTGAGCCTGGAGTTCGGCGTTCACGCTGGTGAGTTGGCTAAACTGACAGCAATTTGCAGTGACAAACGTAATCAGAAGTCATTTTCAAGTGACGGACAGCGTTGACAAATGCACAGTAATGTGATCTGCCAACTACTAATGGAAGCGCAGACGTGAAGCTTGCACAATCTACCAATAAACTGATACAGAATGTCGGCTAGCAACCAAAAGAACAGCAACTTGGTGACATCCTGCAAATTAATCAAAGAGCACTCCCTTTATAATCACACTTTACCAATTAGTGATTGGCTCTTTTATTAGGAAGGCGGGGCTTCCTTCAATAGAGCGACCATATTGAGCATTGCATTTTTCCTCATTCAAAACTATAGGAGTGACACGTCTTGGGTATTCTATAGTCTTTGCAGGAGGTCTGGCGGTTTTGAGCGGTGAGTAGATTCTAACTGAAACATCTCTGAATGGCCATCGCGTTCCAGAAATCAACAGATATGTCTGTGATTGGCTACATTGCTCAACACTGCAAACACATGTTACAAATGGAAACTTAATCGTTTTTATTTTATATTAGTTGTTCTTGTTGCTTTTCTACAATAGATGAATAACAATTTATTTGTTTTTAGATATTTTATGTTAAGATATTTATTTTTTGCGGGAGTGCTGCAAATCATTTTATTATCCCGCATCCCGCACACACAAGTCTCTACCCGCCCGCACCCACCCATCAAGTCTTGTCCCACGCTGCACTCTGTTGTGTTGGGCCCCGTGGGAGTGCAGGTCTCTAGTGTAAGCTGCAGAAACGATCCATAAATTTATCCATTTTAATCACTCTTACTGAACTCCACCAGTAGTGAGCCAATCTACTAAGTGAGCCCTTCTTTGCATTTTCAATCTCAGAAAGTACATGCAAGTTCCCATGTTTCCTAATTTCAGTCATACCACTCATCAAGATGATTCCTAGGATTGCTCAAGGCCTCTTCTGGTCTTTGTGTAATTTTTGGTGATTCTTGTTTTCTCTTCTGATTTTTATTTAGCTGAACCCAAGCTTGTAACTGAGAGTCTCATCTCTGCTCCTCGGCTGGACATGGAGGAGGACTCGTGTGAGGCGCGGTTAGAGAGGACAGAGGGGACGACCCAGCCCTCCTCAGCTGTCTCTCCCTATCAGACCTTCAAATCCCCGGCCAATGATTCTGAAGACAGCTTCAAGTCCCTGCCTTCAGAGTGTCCCAAGACTCCGTCTGGCTCACCTGGAATGGAACATTCCGGCAAATGGACCCACTTGACAGACTTTGAGTTGAGTGGACTCAAGGCCTTGGTGGAGAAGCTGGAATCCCTTCCGGAGACAAAGAGATGCGTTCCAGAGGGAATCGAGGATCCACAAGCACTGCTAGATGACGTGAAGGTCTTTATACATTTTCCACTTGTCATTTGTTTTGTCTCTCACTCAGTGCCTTGAATTGACATCACGATTACTGCTGCCTGACTCCGTTTTTCTTTTCACAAGGAATAATAAATGGAAGTAAGCACCTGCTGGGTGGTGCGGTGTAGTTGTAGACCTAGACTTGTAGGTTCAGGTAGTAGGTTCAGACCCTACAAGGAACAATGCATTGCAATGCACTCAAAGTAAGGTTGTTGCATTAACTTACGGTGACATTGTGGATGGCAACACCAAGTCTTCAACATTACAAAAATGGACAAGATTTTAAAACAAATCAATGCATTTATTTTAACTCCTTTATACCAAATCTGAAATATACGGTTATCTGTTTTATTTACATTTGTAGGCTCATTTGTAGGCAATTATTTGATTTAAATATTTCAAATATGTTCTAAAATATTCAAATATTTTAAATTATATTATAAATAATAAAGTATAATTTATTATATATTAAAACACAAAATATTTGCACACCAAATATTTTCGCACACCAAAACTATTCACAATTTTTTAGATTTTCATCATCAAAAAAATAAATAAATAAATAAAATACAATAAAAATAGTGTCTGAACTTTTTTTATATGTAGGCTATATATTTTTTGTTGTTCTCAGTTTTGTTTTATGTCTGCTTCTTGAACAGGTTGTGCTGAAGGAACATGCAGATGACAATCCAAAGTTGGCCATCACTGGTTCTCCTATTGTATGCTGGCCGAAGAAGACAAGCAAGGTATGAATGTTTATGCAGAGTGATTAGAAACATTAGTATGTGGCTGAGCAAGATTGTTTAACCTAATTTTAAGGTCATTAATATGATTTACATATTGCAATGTCATCGGTTAATTATACTTTAGAGTAAGACAGATATGGACCAAAACGTGTTATGAAGGTTTTGCGGTCTCCATTCCTTCCTAATTTTGCCCCCTTCAGATTCATGGTTGATGTTGAAATTAAGAATACGTTTAGAGGATTTTTTTGTTGTATTACCAAAAATAGTTGCGTTGTGAGGTGTAGATTCTGTGGAAATATTATTTGCAAAGGCAAAGCGGAACTTTGCCTTAGTATTTCACTGGAATGATGAATCAGCTTCAGACACAAGGGAAGTGTTGCCAGTCCCTCAAAATTAGACCTGACCAATCACACGCAAATCTGCGCTTATAGACTTGTTTTAGTTTATTTCCCTATTGACTGTGACACACGCGATTGGATGTTGGCTTTTGTTCTCCCCCCACTTCACAACACTAAAACTGTCTCGACTACTAAGCCCAGCTGCTGAATTTTCGCCTCCATTGTGTCTGTCTTTTGAAATAAAATACCATCTGTTCTTATACTGCCCCAACTGGCCTCTCTTCTTTACCCCATGACCCTGTTTGATCACTTCTGTTCTGCATGCTCGCTTCCTATTGGTTGTGTCTAAGCTGTGTTGGCGCATATTAAAGAGCCTGTTTTGCATATTGCACACCCATTGGCTCTGCCGCTCTCCTCTCCCCTCCCACTTCTTGGAACTCCCCCTGTTGCATATTCATGAGCATGTCTTGCTCTAGCCTGTGTGCTCTGATGGCTAAGGAACAGAAGGGAGGGCTGTGCTGTCTCGCAGCCAGTAGCAAGCCAGAGCTGCAGCCATGTCAGTTAGCTAAGCGCTGAGAGGACTCTAAGAGCCATGGCCATGTCGCTGATCGCTGACGAGGAGGATTATGAGAACTCGGATGCTGAGCAGGTAGTAACGTTGAGCCAATGGGTCCTTAGACTTAAGAACAGAAGATGCAATAGGTTGCATGTAGCAGTTATTTGTGTATATTTGCAAGTGTAACTGAAGTGCACGTGATAAGTGAGCTGTCAGAGCTGTCAGAAATGTTTATGGTGAGCGCTGATAACTACATATGACTAACACACAAGTTCAGTTTTGAGCCTGGTGCTCATTTTGATCCAGTTTGACATTGTTTGATGTTTATTTTGCAATAGTAAGGTCACATTTTTGCCATTTTTTCTCACTGAACTTGAATGAATATCTCAGCAGGTTGTTGAAACATGAACCTAAACTAGCATTTCTTGATGCTGTAAGATCTTGTTAGGTACTTTCAGAAGTTGCAGATGAAAGTGAAATCAGTGACACTTCATTTGTGGAAGCTGTGATATTACTATGTGATATGATAGTCATGCTATGTTAGCCACTACAAATGCTTTCTAACAGTCACAGTTGATGTTTTAATGCACACTGCAGTGTTTCAAAGGCGTGTGGGTTCTTTCAATACTTTGCATATGTCTGTTTGTGCGGCTGCCCACGTGAGACTCTCCCATCGCTTGTTTTATGCTTGCGGTTGGGCGAATCTTTGATTCTCTTCCAGGGAATCCTTTTGTATTCCTCTTCTATTGGAAAAACTACAAATGCATTTAGCTCCAAATGCTGTCGCCACTGAGGAAAGGATGCAGTTGCTAGATTATCGTCATTTAATCTTCCATCATTAGGATGAAATCCATCTTTGTGCCTTTTGTAAAAACGTACAAAAGTATGTTTGTCCGATTGCATACATTTTTACTCTCACCGCTCGTTCCAGATATTTGTATAGATCATTGTGTTATTCAACTTCCTCAATTTCCAGGATATTTTTAACTGTTTTGGCCACAGCCCAACAAGGGCCTCTTTGAGCCGGTCCTACAAGATGAGCGCATGGGGGAGGGGCGGGACAAAGAACCAACGTGAGTAAAAACAGTCCAGACATGTTCCTGTTGTGAACATATTTAGTCCTGGACCTGTAGTTATGAAATTATAGGTGTATATTGAATCAGACATAATTTTTTGGGATATTAGATCTTGCATACATCAATACATCTGGTCTTGGATGCTATTTGACAGTGTATTGGTGTAATATTTGCCAAGGAGATATTGGTAAACCACTATTTAAACCTTAAAACACTTTCTTATTTACTAACAAGTGAGTTTCTTGGGGGCGTAGTAGTGATCAAGCTAGTTTTTGGTTTGTATCAGTTAATCTCCAGTTTCTTGGTCACCTCTTCTTAGGACTGGCTCTGCAACGTTTGCATTTGTTTTTGTTTTTTTATATTATTCGCCCCAGTGAAAAGACTTTATTTTGCTGATATCTGCCTCGTCAAGTTTTGTGAGTTTAGTGTTAAATATCAAGTGTAACTTCACACCCTACTAATTAAATTTGCCCTGCCATCTCTGCAGCTGGGTGTGATTTGTGATTTTTGCTGTTGTTTTTGCAGTATAATTTTAATGAATATTAATTTGGATAATGTTCTTAACAAGTAGGACAATTACATATAGAGCATCTGGTTTAATGATGGTATCACAAACTAAGTGCTTGAGTCAGCATGTGTATGTTTACCATGGATATGTTTTTTTTTTAACTCTGCACATACACCTATAACAGACAGCAAGCTTTAAAATCCATGTTTGCCCTTAATAACTACAGTAATCCTGTCTTAGTGATCTTTCATCTCTGCAGCAGTTTTTATATGAATGCAGTCTTTAATTTCTGACCTTGTCAGCAAGCTGCTCTAACGATGTCAAGCAAATCTGTTTATGGTATTAATCTATCATAGCACATGCACACACTCAGATGCAGTGATGATGGTTGGCTTGGAAAGTTCTTATTTCAGTGGTTTCACAATGAGAAATATTTCCTCACTTTGCTAAGGTTATATTTTAACAATGAAATCAGTTATGTGACTGTTGATAATTCTCCTCTGTTTGGCTTCTAAAATCTTCTCTGAACATTTGTATTTATGCTGAACATTTTGATTGATATCAAAATGACAAAATGTGAATGTAAGTGAGAATAAAATTATGGATATAATGATGACAGATCCAACCCCACAAGGAGCAAATGATTGTTTTTATTTTTGTGTGGCCCAACAAAAATAAAATAAAAAAATAAAAATCACCATTTATTTTAGCCAACATCCAATAGTTCCAAAAGAAGAATGTTATCAGCAAAACTGATAAACGATGAGTTGGTTGACCTCTACTTGGAAACTTTGATTTTGGGTGATGGCCTTGTGGGACCTTTAATGAATTTTCAAGGTCCCGTCTTTAATCTGGGTGAAACCAGCTCTTACAAATGCAAACTCACGACATCCAACACATTAACAAGAGACATTAGATTTGGCCTGGAATATTTTTCCCTCTGGCAGCCACATAACTGTCTCCCTCTTCACCGGCTCTGCTGACCACATGCCTGTATTTGTGCTTCTGTTTTCCTCCATCTCAGTTTCATAACACATCACATCTGAGATGTTGTGAAACAGCAGTTTCAGCTTTCTGATATTTGTGGACAATTTCAAGAACTCAACAACAGTATGTATGTGGTTGTCATTTTTTTTTCTTTCATTTCATCCACGTAGGAAAAACTCATGTGAGGCGAAAATCAATTCTACTACAAGCATCAAATTCAAAGCTCTGTGCAAACAGGACTTTTGACTCTGACTGAAGAGCTAATTTCAACTCTCTGGGGCAGAGGAATCCACTTAGACTGTTTAAAAGCAATGTACCTATTGAGGAGGTCGGGTTGAACTTTCCCCCTCTGGCTAATGTGATTGTTCATGTTTTCCTCTCCATTACTGAAGGTTCCTAATGAGAGTGGAGGCCAAATTCATTCTCATCAATCACCCTGTGTCCCATGGTGCCGTAGGAAAGTCTTGCTGTGGGTGCTGGGACAGGCATGGCTTCTGCTTGATGTAATGGGGACATGGCAGCCCATGGGATGTGGAATATAGCTGTTTGAAGAATAATTCCCTTTGACTTTCTTGAGAGTATATAAGTGTGTATGTATTAAGCTTACTTATGATTTATAGTCTAAATGCACTGTTGCCATTTTGGCCTGATGGCCAAGAATAACATAAAAGACGAGTAAAAGCTCTATCAAAAAGGAAACAGAATCAATAATGGAAAGTGCTTCACATCAAGGAGATCAAATGGCAAACATAAATACGCTTCTATTCATTCTGACATCCCTGCTACTGCTGCTGTTTCTCCTCTGTTGCATAACACGGCTAAACCGGTGTTGGAATATTTGTGTTTCTAAGGAAACACAGTTTACGTTTATGAGAAATGCTGTTAGGAATAATATGCGTTGGCTGGTTTAATGCATGTTCCTGCAGCTGTATCCTGACTTATTGTTCTTTAATTGACTCAGAATTAATAACAACAGGGAATGTCCTCCAACTTTACTTGACTGACACTGTGGGCAGATTTTATCAGTGTTCACAGAGTAGTAAAAATGCATTCTCATGTTCAGTGCTGCTGTTCTCCTATTTTTGTTCTTTAAAGTGCCTTGAGGGCATATAAACAATTTGAATAACTGCACATACAACTAAATCTGAACCATATGAACCCACTTTCAGAGTGTGGGGTCTGAAAGTCGATAGGTCTGTGTTCATTATGTTTGCATTCCCTTGACTGTGTGGCATTGCATTACTGTTAAAGTCAGCAAGCAGCTCATAAACAGATCATGTTCATCATGTCCTGGTTTCTAAAAATGTTCAGTTTGCTACATGTAAAACAGGTTGAGAAAAGTTTAATCTTGTTTCTCATTTTCCATTCTGTGGTTCTATGTTTCAGCCACGGCCGCTTAATCGGCCAAAATCAAAGATGGGCTCGTCTCCATCGGCTGCTGCAGGCTCAGCAGCGGGAGGAGTGAAGCTCTCGTCCAGCCGCGGTTCATCTAATGCCCGGCGCAGACGGACACGCTGCAGGAAGTGTGAGGCATGTACACGCAAAGAGTGCGGGGAGTGCCACTTCTGCAAGGACATGAAGAAGTTTGGTGGACCAGGCCGCATGAAGCAGTCCTGTATCATGAGACAGTGCATAGCGGTCAGTCTGGGTACTCAACATCAGATTTGACCCTTGATCTGCTGAATGACATGTCTGAAGGAACTAACTGCCACACTTTCTGTGTTTTGCAGCCTGTTCTACCTCACACTGCTGTGTGTCTGGTGTGCGGAGAGGCTGGGAAAGAAGACACGGTAGAGAACGAGGAGGACAAGTTCAACATGATGCTTATGGAGTGCTCTATCTGCAGCGAGATCCTCCATCCAGCATGCTTGAAGGTTGTTTTCCTAATTAGTCCACCAAACAATTGGAAACTTATTTTAGACATACAATGTTGTTCTGTTCAGTAGAAACTTATTCTGTTCTGCTGTTCAGGAGAAGGATTCTGGCAGTGTTGTAAATGACGAGTTGCCAAATTGCTGGGAGTGTCCGAAATGCAGTCATTCTGGAAAGACGGGAAAAGTAAGCATCACTGTCCTACCTAACTACATAAAAACATAAGCCTAAATAATGAAAATGGTGATGATATTGTTAAGTCTTAGGTTAACAAGATATTAAATTTCTGATATAATACATAATAGATATAAACTTGTCTTGTCTTCTTTCCCACTTTTTGGTCACAAAGCAAAAAAGAGGCCCAGGGTTTAAGTACGCCTCCAATCTCCCTGGCTCTATGCTCAAAGAGCAGCGAATGAACCGGGACGTAAAGGAAGAGCTGGAATCAAACATGTCTACTGAGTCCTACACCTCTACTGTTTCACCTGTCATGAAGAAGAAGAAGAAGACAGAACGAGAGAACAATCCTACCTGCAAGTCAGAAGATGCATTTAAGAAACGTTCTCCCAAATTGGAGGACAACCCACTCCGCAAGAAGAGAAAACTCTTTGAAAAGGACTCAGACTCAGATTCCAATGTTAAGAAAAAGGTAGCAAGACAATGAATAAGTAAAAGCAAATAAGAGATGAAATAATATTTTTTTGCAAAGCATGTATTTTGACCCTCTTTTAAATCCACAGAAGAAGCGCTCAAAGCCTGAAGATCTCTCAGCCTCTAATGTCCTGGGACAGATCAAGACCGAAAGAGAGGATGAGGAGGAGTATGATGAGGTTAACAGACAAGAATTGGAGAGGAGAGCCTTCGGTTTTGCGCCCTCAGAAGAGGAGGATGGAGATGATGAAGAGGAGGAAGAAGAAGAGGAGACAATGAAGAAGAAGGGTAGTCCAGAGGAGAATGGGAAACTTGAACACAAGACCTCCGCTGCATGGGAAGGTGACCAATCACAGGGTGGTTTTACCCAGGCAGGGCCCAGTAGTGACTCGGGTGTTGATGCACAGTTGAGGAGCCAGCGAAAAACCAAACGTAAGCCTCGCCTGCCCAACAAAGAACTGAGCAAAGAACTAAGCAAACAACTCAATCAGGAGATCCAGAATACAGAGGATCGTCTAGCACATCAAAATGGCAGAGCGGTGAAGACAGAACCAGATAGTGATGGAGAGGACAGAAAACCACTGAAGAATGGAAGCAGCCATCTGAGAGACTGGCTGGGGCCTAAGCGGGAACTAAACGGATCCTTGCGAGAGCAGCTCCCGGTTAGTTGGATCAGGACTACACCTACCCCTGTCATTCGGCCAAAACCTTGCCGCTCTCCACCGAAATGTGTTCAGATGGAGCGTCATGTTATTCGTCCCCCTCCGATCAGCCCCCCTCCGGATGGGCTGCCCCTAGATGATGGGAAGAATCACGTAATGCGGAGAGAGGTGTGGATGGCAGTGTTCAGCCACCTCACACACCAAGACCTGTGTGTCTGCATGCGGGTCTGCAAGACCTGGAACAGATGGTACGTCTTCCAGAAACTAGGAAAGAAAGCATCATAATATGTTGAGCTTTTTAAGTTGCACTTGCACTATAGAGAATTTACTTTATACTGCAGTACTACATGAGCATCCTTTTCCTCCATTGGTGCTTTCATTGGTTTACTCCCTAGCTCTCAGACTTAACCACATCTTTAACCCTTGTCCTAACTAATGAAAACACTGGATTGTATTTGGGTCACAAGAATGAAGTGAATCTTTTTTTACTTTCAGTTGTGACTTCAAGGTCCTCCATGTTATGTATATTCTACACACGCAATCTCAACTTTGTAAGATGCAAGTCTTCTGTCCTCTGTTCTCAGGTGTTGTGATAAAAGACTTTGGACCAAGATCGATCTGAACCGGTGCAAGTCAATCACTCCACTCATGCTGAGCGGCATTATCCGCAGACAGCCGGTCTCCCTGGACCTCAGTTGGACCAACATTTCTAAGAAGCAGCTCAGCTGGCTAATCAACAGATTACCTGGTACAATCACACTTTTACTTACCAGCTCATTTGTTTAATGGTGGAAAGTTTTTTTGGAGTTTTGTTTCAATGCATCTCAGGTTCACTGTATAGCTGGATTCCTTTCCAGCTGTTTTGACCTGTGTATATCCTAATGGTGTAGGCTTTATGTACTTGACACTCCAGTCTTGTTCCCGGAGATCTATATTCCTGCCAAGTTTAGCTATGACCCTGATCAAGTACACCAGAACCAGCTAATTAATATCTTTAGGAACTTTTGATTATTACAAACAGGTGTTTTGGAGCAGGGTTGAAACTGAACTCCAACAACAGGATTGGGCACCCCTGATGTATGCAAACTCCACTCTTGTGTCCAATACTTGCATGACACCTTTGTGTTGGTTTCCTGGCAGGTCTGAGGATTCTGTTGCTGGCAGGCTGTTCGTGGGCAGCTGTATCAGCTTTATGCACATCCAGTTGTCCTTTGCTAAGAACTTTAGATGTGCAGTGGGTAGAGGGACTTAAGGACAACCAGATAAGAGACCTACTCTCCCTGCCGACAGACAACAGACCAGGTACTGAATGATAGCATTAATTGCTGTTTATGTCCATTATGTACTCTTGACCCATTTAGAAGTTCTTTATCTTCTTATTTTGCCAATTCATAGCGCCCCCATGTGTACACAGGAAATAGTACAGGCACATTTCTGTTATATTGTTTAAAAATTGACTGTAAAAGATGCATATTGCTGTCTCTCAGGTCAGTTGGACAGTAGAAGTAAACTGAGGAATGTGGAGAATCTCTGTCTAGCTGGTCTGGACATAACAGATACATCCCTGAAGCTGATCATAAAACATATGCCTTCACTGTCCCAGTTGGATCTTAGTTACTGTAACCACATCACCGACCAGAGTGTCAACATCCTCACGGCAGCCGGCACCACGACCAGAGACTCTCTCACTCACATCAACCTTTCAGGTATGCAGGCCATACTAAACCCCTCACATAACAGGTTAGACATGCTAACGGACAGTGGAGTGGACTGGAAAACAAGTATGCATACATTGTGTGTATAGGCTACACAAACTCATCTTAATCTGATAACATTTCCATCTTGCTGTTTTATGCATTGCATCTTGGGAAAAGCATGATGCAAGGCCACTGCTCTTCACTCGCTACTAATGTAAATCTGAGCGGCTATGGCTCTAAATCCCCATTCCTTTCCTCCACAGTTTGTAACAGAGTTACAGACCTGTCGTTGACCTACTTCAAGCGCTGCGGAAACATTTGTCACATCGACCTGCGGTACTGCAAACAGGTGACCAAAGAGGGTTGTGAGCAGTTCATCGCAGAGATGTCCGTCAGCGTGCAGTTCAGACTGATCGAGGAAAAACTACTGAGCAAACTGAGCTAGTCAATAAAGACAGTGACAATAACTTGACCTAGAACCCAGGGAACTAACAATCTCGCTCTCCATTTTTTTTTTTTTACACTTTTTCAACATAGGATGGGTGGAGCGTAATGCACTCCACAGAAAACCAGCAAAGACAAAAATGACATTGCTAAACAACACACTCCAAGCAAAAGCCTGAATTCATCAACAGAGCTCACAAGTGAAGAAACGTGTTCTTCTCTGGTGGCCAATTCAGCCTTCCAATCTGTTTTATTGTTTTCAATTCGTTTAGTTGTGCTGCTAAGGCAAACGTTTATTGATTTTTACGTTTACAAGGCACATCTAACAGAGTGCCAACGTTAAAATGCTGTTGAAAGGCATGTTTACTCATATTTTGCATAAATGTTATAAAAAAGGTTTTATAGTCACACAGTGCAGTGTTGCAGTGACTGTTATTTTCTTTCTCGGAAAAGAAAAATTCAAAATGCATGTGCTTTTTTCGTTACCATGCAAACGTTAAGCGTCATGCAGTATTAATTTTTGTATCAGAAGGGATTTCACACTTTATGTGCAGTATTAAATGCACTCATATATAGACTTTATTGACAGTATTCAGTCAGTACAAAGTTTATTTTTTTTCTACGCAGTAGGAAGTTAAGCAGATCATATCTATACTAGCTATAGTAACTGTGCAGATGTTTTTGTAATGTTAATTTAAGATGTGATGTCTTCTAATGTTATAAGATGTTCTACAGGTACATTCTCTTTTCCATACAACTATATTACTTATCTGGGCTTCTTTAATATGTATATATCTGGGGGGAAACGTATTTGCACTGTTTGACCTGAATAAATACTGGTATTTTTTCCAGTATGATGTTTTGCTTCACGGAATTTTGACTGTGTGAACAACTTGGTGCACAAAACTATATAGAGCATCGGATTATTCAAGGTAAACAAGATTTATAAATTAGCCTAAAATCCGGCCGTTCAAGCAATTATGATTTCCCGCCTACCTTTTTGCCGCTCTTTTCCTCACGCTCATGTTAAGACTTATTGAGTAAATATAGGACAGGTTATCACATACAGACAGGCTTATTTCAGCGAATCTGTTCTTAATAATCAGAATAATCAGCAACCATATCCGTGTATTGTGCTATAAAAAGTTATTTTCATCCGCTTGCGTCTGACTGACTGCGTTGCACTTAGCAGCCACTAGAAGGCGCCGATTAGCATTTCATCGTTTGCAACTGAGGAAAAAATAATACTGAAATGAGAAAACTCTTCTTATTTTGTTACTTCAAGGTACCATATTTTATTAAATTTAATAAATCATCTTTGAATTACCAAAATAAAAAGTTCAACATTCCAAAATACAAAGACCAGACCCCAAAACGCCTTCCAGCGCTCAGTTTAAGTCGTTTAGACAGTAATCGTGTCAGTTGTCTGCTCAGCTAGAGTAGTTGCCTACTACCAAGTGACATCTTTTAGAGATAGCAGCATTAGAAACATACACATAAGCACAGTGTCAGTGTTGGGCAGACGGGTGTGGAGATGTTCTAGAAGCAAATTAAAAACAGACTGATTATAGAAATACATGGTTGTGACACCAGAATGTAACCAAATCTACTGTAGTATTATTTGTGACCGATTAAAAAGATAAACAACTAAATCAATGTTGTTTACATTCAAGGAAAAAACTGGAACGCTGAAGAAACATTTAAAAGAAAATGCAAGAAAAACTGGACAACAGAGGAAAATATAGCCTATCCATATAGCCTACTTTGTGTACATCTTTTTTCACATGTATATAAAATCATATATGTTTGATTAAATTTTCCTTTATATTTGTTTGTCTAGCCAATACCACAGCCATCATAACTTGAATTTGACTACAGAATTCACAGCAACAAAGGGCATCCAGAGGAATCAAATAACAATTTATTTTCCTCTTTATCTTATCGTTATCTAGAAAATGTAAATATGCACAAAAAGGGAAAGAAACGTAAGTAAAATCACGAATGCAATAGAGAACTGTGATACGTAAATCCATGTAGCACCGCTTGTGAAATCAACACGACACACCAAAAAAAAAACAGACATCTTTCATGGTATTGCTGGAGATGAAGAACATTGAAATCAAAACTTTTGACCAACAATGAAAACGGAATATTTTGCAAAGAAAACCAACCAAGGTTTAAAGGTGCACTAAGAAATTTTTACCAACTTCTATAGTGCTTTTGACAAATGTTTTAATATTGTACACTCATGTGAGACTCAAAAAAAGGTTTTGATCTACATAGGTGAACCTTCCTTAATGTTGAGATCACATGACCAGCCTAACTTCCTTTACCTTGGTAATCACCCTATTATCTGACACTTTTAATTAATCGAAAATGACTTAGCACACCTTTAATTATCTTGTATATACAGCACAATGGAGACAAACCAACCACACGCCTGACGTTCGGCAGATTCTGCAAAATTTGATAAAAAAATAAAATAATAATTGAGGTTCCAGTAATAAGCTACATAGTGGCAGGTGCTGGATTCCAGTTACTCTGTGAAAAAATACAATACAGTTTCTATCAACTTGCTATAAATAACTCTTCTGCTAGCTGGTCATTTGATCCGGTGTCATGGATGCTGATTTGTGGTATGGCAATAGCCGATTTAATACATGAAAACAACACGCTTATTAATAATATAGCACGTAAAAACAATCCAGAAGCCGTTCTGCACATTTCTACTTTGGCACTTACAGTACCTTCCCCCTTCACAATGGTTTTCACTGTTGCTACGACAACATGCATCTTAATGGCAATCGGTTTCTCTACACGCACACTTAAAGATTTCTAATATTGCACATACAATAAGACATTTCCAAAAAGTTTACAGGAATGTACTGTAAACCACTTAAACTTTCATATTTTTTATACGTTATTCCTCTAAAATCCCTTTCTTCCCTAACCGCAGAAACGATTTCAAACGTGTCAATGAATGACCAAATAAAAATGGGCAGCAGGAAATGCTCGCTCTGTGAAGAAGGTGTGCGCAGTACTGGTTTCCACCACTTTGAATCTAAAGGGGCAGTTCATTGGTCCAGTCGTGGCCCCAGCCTGCTCGGTCAAGCAGGAAGCATCTGGTGTGTTGGTCTTCCAGTAGAGGTGATGCTCATTGCTCACCCGTTAAGACTTGAAGACGTGCACCGCCCGCACCACGTACTGCCTGCAGATGGGGCACTCGCTCATCCTCTTGCCACACTTGGTGCAGGTGACCATGTGACCGCACTCCAGCAGAACGCAGTCTATCACGGCATCCATGCAGATACGGCACAGGTTCTCATCAACACCGCCCAGCTGAGCTACTTGCACACCATCTGGAAGTATACAATATATGGAAGGTTTGAGATCTTGTTTAATAGTCTATGGATCTTGTTTGTCTGTTCTGCTTGTGTGTAATGAGGTTTTCTTTTCACCTTGGGAAAGATTTTTGTACATAGTTTTACATGCAATGACATTTTACAAGACATTTTGAGCAGTAAAATGTGATCATTTTCATTAAATTAAAATGCTTTAAACAAATGTTCCAGGTTCAATACAACTTAAAACTCAATCATAAGCATTTTTTGATGACAGAAAATGTTTTCGACTTGTCACCTAATATAATAAAAGCATTTAAAACTGGAAATAAATGAGGACATGCATGTTACATATTTAAATGTCACAAAAATGTGAATTTTTGTTAAAGGACATGAATTCTTTAAAATAAGAAGATAAATGAAGGAATTTTATTTTCAGTTTTATTTTCTTTAAAAATAAAGAAAATAAAATTGAAAAACATCATTCTAAATTAAATTGAAATTCAGTTACATTTTTTATTTGAATTAAAATGCTTTAAAGAAATGTTCTGGGTTCAATACAACTTAAAACTATATCAAAAGCATTTTTAAGTATGCACAGATTTGATTACGTCCCATAATTTAATAAAAGCAGTTATAATGGAAATAAATAGGGACGTGTGCATTAAATATTTAAAAGCAGAAATGTTAATTTTTTGTTAAAGAACATGAATTCTTCTTTAAAAATAAAGACAATAATTGAATAGATTTTCTTTTCAATTTTCTTTTCTTTAAAAATAAAGAAAATAAAATTGAAAAACAAATAATCTTAAATTAAAATGAAATTCAGTAAAAAATTTTATTTGAATTAAAATGCTTTAAAGAAATGTTCTGGGTTCAATACAACTTAAAACTATATCAAAAGCATTTTTAAGTATGCACAGATTTGATTACGTCCCATAATTTAATAAAAGCAGTTATGGAAATAAATAGGGACGTGTGCATTAAATATTTAAAAGCAGAAATGTTAATTTTTTGTTAAAGAACATGAATTCTTCTTTAAAAATAAAGACAATAATTGAATAGATTTTCTTTTCAATTTTCTTTTCTTTAAAAATAAAGAAAATAAAATTGAAAAACAAATAATCTTAAATTAAAATGAAATTCAGTAAAAAATTTTATTTGAATTAAAATGCTTTAAAGAAATGTTCTGGGTTCAATACAACTTAAAACTATATCAAAAAGCATTTTTAAGTATGCACAGATTTGATTACGTCCCATAATTTAATAAAAGCAGTTATAATGGAAATAAATAGGGACGTGTGCATTAAATATTTAAAAGCAGAAATGTTAATTTTTTGTTAAAGAACATGAATTCTACTTTAAAAATAAAGACAATAATTGAATAGATTTTATTTTTATTTTTATTTTCTTTAAAAATAAAGAAAACAATTCAAAAATATTTTATATGAAACAGAATGAGACAGAAAATGTTCTCATCTCTGAATAAAAAAAAAAGCAGTTCTAGAAATAAGGAAATGCACATTAAATATCTAAAAGCAGAAATACCTAAAAGTGAATTTTTGTTAAAAGACATTAATTCAGACATTAATAAAGACATTTTATTTTCAATTTAATTTAATCATTTCAAATTCAAATTACTTACAAAACTGTGATTTTTGCTTTACAAATAAACTCAGCAAAGTAAATATTTTCTGTATTACTGAACCTGGACACACACAGTCTTTCTTATTTGACATCCTTTTAGTCGGTCAATATCAGCGGTCAAACCTTTTAATGATAAACAGCAACTCTCCTCTATGGCAGACTAAACCAGTATTTGCTGATGTTAGTCTTATTAGCTCTATTAATTGCTCTATAAAAAAACCAAAATGGTGCACATCCCTCAAGCATAAGAAACTTGGTCCTTCTCCAAAAAGCCACTTGATATATTTTCTGAGACCGGACAGCTACAATATTTGGATCATTTTGGGCCGTTTTCCAAGCAGTGTTAATATAATTAATGAAGGCAAGGTGCAATTACAGTAATGTGACAAGCTATAAAAAGACAGACAGATCACATTAGGAGCACAATTCATGACACAAATGTGATCATGCACGTGGAAACCACATATCAAACTCTCCCAGCATGCATTGGGAAGAGTCACTTTTCATTAATAATGGTAATGATGATGTTGGAGTCACATTAAAAAAAAGGCTGAGTCTTACCTCCAATACCTCCATTGCATATAGGAGGAGGGTAAGCTATGACTTTGATTGACAAACATAGTAGTGGAAGAGTTAGCATTATTAGCACTGGACAGCTAACGTAAGCTCGCATGCATACAGAAAATTGTAAACTTGAAAATGTTGCCCGGAAAGAACATATTTCCATGTTGTACACTCTTCATGCTTCACCAGGTTAGTAAATAGTCATGGTAGTAAGGTTTTGATATTTTCCACTGTATATTTGTAAAATGTTGTATTTTTATGTGCATATTTATGCATTTAAATATTTATTTAAAAATAATAATATATATATTTATAAAGTCTCAAGTACCAGTGTTGTTATTGTTAACTACAACTAAAACGATTAAAATTATATTCAGTAACATACAAAACTAAAAAAAAAAAAACGAAACGAAAATTACCAGTGTTGTT